TCTTTCCATGGACGTTTGGTTCTAGTCGATTTCAGGGGGACAGTATGTGGGCATAGAAAGGAAGCCTTTGAAGGGCCGGTCTTGAGGAGGCAGGCAGCCTACTGTAGAGACGGATTATGCACAGAAAACTGTCCTCACGCATTCGAGATGAAGATGAGCGTAAACGGTAAAATCATGATTCGTACGAATGCCACCTATGATGATGTGGAAACTCTTATCCCAAAGAAAAGCCCTCTTGTCTGAGCCCTAGCATCTCTCTTCATTCTTCATGTCCAACATGACTAGGAAAAAGTCTGCCATCGCTTCCGCTTCACCGCCCAATATCACACCTTTAGGCCAGAAAGCCGCTTGGAAGGGCGTTTGCAAAGCCACCATGATCTCCAATCACAAGGAATCTCGGACGGCTCTGCTCCTCACAGTTCCTCCGTGATCCACTTGTCCTGCGTGCTCTGCGAGACGGCCTTCTCGTCGTACGTTCCCCAGGAGCTCTTGAGCGCCACGGCCTTGAAGTCAAAAGTGATGCCCTGATCGTTGGTTCCCGTGCCGCGGGAGAGAACAATGCTGTCGAGGGGCTTATCGGTGAAGTAAAGCATGGTGCCGGCCTCGACGCCGCCGTTGACGTAGACCTCGAGGACGGAGCGGTCAAGGATGCCGTGCAGCTGGAACTCAACGTCGCCGCTGGAGCCTTCGCTCGAGGCGGCCTCGAGGGCCTGGACGTTGGAGACGCCAAAGGTGCCGGACCTATCCCACACCGCGCTGGCGCGACCAATGTTGAGGTTGGCCGTGGGTGCCCCGCTGCCGGAGATACCCGTGAAGTCGAAGCCGAGAGAGACTTGCTCCGTGCCGTTTGACTGGGAGCCCCGGAAGGCCAATTGAGCAGAGGCCGTCGAGCCTTCCTGGAGGAGAGTCTTTGCCATCTTGACGGTCAAGGTCCACTCTACAGCTGGGTTGTAGTCGCGGATGACGGCGCTGCTGCCCTCAATGCCCGATACGTCCTTCTCGTCAAGGATGGGATTCCAGCCGGACGTCGAGCTCACCAGCTTCGACAGGTCGCCAGCCGGCGCCGACATGAGTCGGTTGGTGTTGGAGTCCAGCCAGTGGCGGCGCACACCACCCATGCAGTGACGCCATCCCTCTTGGTCGGTCGGCGTGCAGCACCCATAGAGCGTCGCGTCGACCGCCCACGAGACGGAGTATGCATCTTGGTTGGCGTCGTTGAGGTTCTGGAAGTGGAAGAAGGCGGTGGCGTACTTATCGGGGCCAAAGTCAAAGTCATAGATGGAGAAGGTGTCCTGGCGCGAGAAGATTCCTCTCCGCGAGGCGAGGCTGGCGGGCACATCCGGGGTGAAGGTGGTGCCGTCCCACTCGCCCGTGATGTACTTGACTGCAGCACCGCCAGTCGGGCCACCACCTCCCAGGCTGAGAGTCAGAACCCACTTGGCGCCCACGATGCTTCCAGACTTGTCCTTTCGGGGGATCTGGAGGAATTGAGGGCACTCAATCAGACCAATGTTTCGCTGCGGGTTCCAGATGGACGACTGCGTCCAGTTGACCAAGTTGGTGGAGGTGTAGAAGGCGACCTCACTCTCGAGCGACAGAACCATGACCCAGGTATTGGTCTCATGGTGGAACGAGGGCTTGGGGTCGCGGAATCCGTGTCTATTGAGAGAGATAATGGGGTTGTTCTCGTACTGGTTGAAGGTCTCGCCGCCATCGTATGACCATGCAAGATGCTGGGATTCCTGATCAGGCTCCCATGAGGTATAGTAGGCGATGATGTTGTCCTTTCCGCTTGTCTTGTCTGACGGGAAGAAGCCGGAGGTATTGTTCTTGTCGACGACGACGCTTCCCGACCAGATGGAGCCATCGCGCGCCGTTGCAGGAATGGCAACAGGGTGGTCAACCCAATTGTAGAATTCGGTGGCCGTCGTGTGGCCCCAGTGCTTCACGCCATCGCCAGCGACGTTGTCGGCATCTGAGTCAAAAGGTCAGTCGTGAAGTTCTGAAGAAGTTTGAAACATTGAAGCCAGGCCAATCTTGGCATAGTCTCATCGAAGCAGTGACACATGGGCATGCCAGATTAGAATGCATCGCAGGGAGAAGAACATGTACGGCAAAGGTAGGGTAAGGGAGGGAAAGCATGCGGTGTGTCTCATTCCGCGCCAAAATGCGGGGGTGGAATTGCAACGCTCATCATCGCGCATGTGATGTTTCCGTCTTTGGCAGAGGCGCAACCCTCACGCCAACGGGAACTAGCACGTGTGCAGAATGCAGATCCAATGAAACGGGCAGAAAGGCGCGCCATTGACATTGCACAGGACGAACATCGGTAACCGCTCGCCCCGGAACCTGCGCAATGCGTTGCACAACTCAAAATACCCGCGGCTTTGGTAGATGTTTCCACTACGGTACTTTGTGTTTGGGGGAGTTGGAGAACAGGTGGATTGAAAAACGAAGGGGGAAAAGGCGGCAGTGGAAGAGACTCACATTGGTAGTACATGTGCCAGACACCGTCCGAGTCGACAAAGAGGCCGTTTGGATCATTAAGCCATTCGGCGGGTGGTGAGAAGTGGATTTGGGGCCGCCAGCGGCCGGATCTGTCGGCTGCTTGTCTCGCCATGATTGCTGCTGGAGAATCGTCGTCTATTGAGCGTTTTAGGTCTGATGAGAAATGCGCGCGTTCTGCCTCGGAGAAGAAGCCTGGCAGAGCGTATGACGGTGCTGCGAGCAGTGTCGACAGAAGCGATGTGTAGAAAAGATGCTGCCTCATGGTTGCAAGAGTTCGGCTCCCCGGGCTATAAGAGAGAACCAGTGTCAAGGTTTCGGCCAAACGGTGCGGCGGCGGGTAAGGGGGTGCTGTTCCCTGATCGACAGACTTCGGATGGGGGGTGAGTAGCGGAGCGTGTCAGCTTAAAGGTAGAGTGACTTTAGGACGAAGCTTGTGTAAGGTAATCAATGAACTGTAAGTCTGAGGCACAAAAAGGCAAGGTAGTTCAGCTGAGAGGGAACACCAAAGAAGTCCGGGGGGTAAGACAATATGGGGAGAGAGAAGAAGGTCTTTGTCGTCCACGAACGAGCTAAAGAAGAGCGGGAAAAGAAACGATGGGTCTAGAGAGAGAGAGGAGAGCGGGTATTTAATCACGAAGAAGCAAAAGAAGGTGAATCAACCTCGGGAGGTGTCTCTCACAACATGCAGTAGCCCACATCCAGACAGCAAGCAGTAGACAGAAAAAAAAAGGAAGAAAAAAAACGGCAACGGCGAACTAGGCGCAGTGACATTGGCTTAGCTTGAACTCCGCTGGCCAAGTAGTGGTTGCACCAGCGTCGGGGCAAGTTCAATGGCAGGCGGCAGCGGCAGACTGGCGAGAGAAAGACGTGCGCCATCATCTCAGCAGGGCCTTCGAACGGAATCATGGCACTGGACGCCAAGGACGCAAAGGGGAAGGGGGTATCGCACACCATGCGTCCAAGACTGGTCTCATGACTCTCTGTCCGGCTGGCAGGTGGCTGGCTCTCGTGGCCTCCTTTTTTCTGCTTCTGTTCGCAAACCACGGCTTACACCCCGCGCCAAGTTGGCCCATCTCCAATTATTTTCTTCTAGAAAGTTGGGGTAAGGTAGCCTTCAGGGGGGAACTGTACCCCCCCCCCCCAAAACTTGCGGTAAACAACGCTAGATTGTGTAACCATAAGAGGGAGGGAAAATGGGAGAGGAAGAGAAAGGAAAAACAGGTGTGTGGTGTGAGGTGAACCACCAGCTGATTGATTGTGAACACAACCCCGCAAAACAGCTATTCCAGGACCGCGTAGGCGGCCGGCGGTAGGGATTGGGGACTGCATCGTACTCCCCGGACTGGCAAAAGAGGGCCCGTTCCCGTCCCTACTTTCCCCGGATTTCGATTGGTCAGGTGGCCAGGATTTGCGTTGCTTGCATTATTGAAGGCGACCTAGCGTTGGGTTGATCAACTTGGATTGTGGTGACGTTCTGCAGCGATTTTCCAGGATGGAACCATGTATCTGGGGAACGGATGCGGGGGTTGATTGTTTACTGCTCTCAACGGGGACAATGCGCTCAGATTTCTCAACGTTCCATCAAGAACCAACAATAGAGAAAGAAAACAATGGCCATGTGAGCGGCCTGATCTTGGCTCTCGAAGTAACGTCGGTGAAGGTGAGGCCATTGACTAGCATGTGAATGAGACAAAAAAGACAACGACCGAGGAGGTTTTGATGAGGGGAAAAGAGCCTGACTGCATCGTGCAAGTTGCCGTTGTTGGCCTTGACTTTCCTCAGTGTTCGAGACGTTGGCAGGCACGCGGGCACGGCGGGGTTCTAAAGGTGGACCCCCTCTCTCTCTGCCCTTCATCAGGTAAGCATTCGTATTACCTAAGGGAGGACATTGAAACAAAGAAGGGAAACTGCCCCTCATTCACGCTGGGAAAGAACAATGTTTGGCAGGAAGGTCACAAGCCAAGGCGGAAAGGAACATCCTTTCCATCTGCCATTTCCCACGTTGTTATCCGTATATACTTTCAGCGGACATGTGTTTACGGAAGCCAAGACGGACCGGAAGGCAACCTACCTGCCTACCGGGCTACGTACACAACTCTCTCAATCTTGTTCTGGAGATGACATTGTCTGTCTCGGCTGCTCTTCGCTCCGACGGTTTGCCCTCCTGAATGATGGCCGGAATGGCAACATCTGCTCCAAGCGGCGTCTGACTCCTTCGCGCGCATGTCTACACCACTTCTCCAAATTCTCAACGTAACAACTGCTACGCTCCAGATACTCCGGCATCCTACCCTGCCTCACTCGAGCCATCAGACCGCTAGATCGTGAACGCCTTTTGGTGCGTATCATCTCACATCTGCACATCTTCCAGCCTTCCTCCCTACCTGGGATGTCCACCCCAGCTTGTGGTCGGGGAACCTTTGAGAGAAATCTTCTAGATCACCTGCAGACCAACAAAGTACAACGGCGCGCGAGATCTGAGCAAGACACGGATCGACGCCGAGTCAGAGACATGGCGCCCACGCGATGCCGACCCTAACCGCAACTTTCACCTTCGACTTGTACCACCCGAGTCATGATGCTCAAGTCACCAGCCCTTAGCACTTGTTCTGACGTTACTTCAAATATGCATCGCGAGTCTTTCTTCAGACCACGAGACAGTGACGATCTTTTGTCCGTTTTTCTCCGTCTTGCCATCGCTGTCTACGTCGAGCATCACAGTCGTTGATGACGAAGTTCGCTGCCTTCACATATCACATCTTGCATCGCCACGAGACAACAACAACAACAACAACAACAACAACAACAACAACAACACTCGCATCGCATTCGATGCAACGTCCAGGCGAGACTATCATCGCCTTTGTTGATGATCATTACAAACAACGCGAGGCTTCGTGGCCATGCTCACGTTCATGCCGGCCCAACTTCGGCATCCGACTGTGTTGCCAGAGTCACCGGCCCAGGAACATGTCCAGACGTTGCATTAGACGCAGACCCTTGACAGGCTGGTCTCATGTTGGCCGCTGGGCATGGCAATCATTGACACCTTATATGCTCCCCCGCCTTTCTGGCTTTGGTTCGACTGCCACGTGACGAACGTCTCCCTCGCCCTTCAAAGCATTCAAAACCTCTACTGCGGCCAGGTTTCCTCGAAAGAAAACCCATCAACAGCATCGCCAAATCTAGAACCTTGTGGCGCAGAAAAATGCAGCCGAGGCGTTCCTCCTCACAGGCCCGCCGCCTTCATCGACCTGTACAATGACACGCCATTATCGGTCCAGACTTGGTCGTATCACTTAAATCAATGAAGCTGCTGCTATAGCAACTTCATGACTCTCGTCATCATCTTCAACCTTGCCGTTAACGCGTCCTCGGCTTTCCTCATTTGGAAGTCTTCCGGCCAAGCGGTTGCGGAGTTTCTGTTGCTGCCCGTCGTCCGCCACCATCGAGTATCATGATGGGGACCCGGATGCTTAGCTTCAAGACGGAGCATTAAGATGCGCACTATTGATGGGCCTGTGGTTGGAGCCGCAGGTGTTGCTGCCCACGCGGCCTGGCCTGGACTTTTCTGCAATCGGAATGCTCAGGAACAACGATCCAGTCTCGCATGTGGCGCTATGTGCGAGCATTCCCTTGAACACGACTTTTACTAACAGCGCAAAGCTCGCGATATTCTTCCGGCTAGGTCAGCTTCGTGTTAACTAGCATTCATCTAGTAGGCTCCGTTCTGGAGAATGTGCCGAGGAAATACTGGAGGCGGAGCCCAATGCCAAGAGGCCATCGGCGGAAGATGGCCGCGTCCAGATTATCAGATGAGCTTGATTCATACCAGGGGCAAGGCGAAGCGAACAACCAATGACGTGCGTATTTGACCAGGCTAGTACTTGAGGCTGTCGCTAACGTAGGAGGTTGTTGAAGAAAAGGGTGCTCTCGGGCAGAGGCCGTTTGAAGTAGGGATGGGATGGAATTCCGACCGTCTGGTGGAGCTGGAGACTCGTGTTCGACCTTCTCTGTTATCATCGTTTTCCTCTTTGCGCTCTCGATCTTGTGTTCAGTCTCGTCATCTTGATCCTGGTTTCTGTAAGAGCACTCTCCGGCATGAAGCAGTCCTGCCTGCTGCGGCTCCTTGGTGGTCTGGTCTCGTGCCCACCGTCTGCCCAAAAGCTCGGTGAGAGATGACATTGAAGGATGGGTTGGGCGAATAATGGCGCGCCAAAACTAAGGTTGAGCGGAGCCCAACGTGTGAGTGCTGGGCAGATATGCAGGTTGCCCAAACTGACCAACGGCGAGCCCCAGTTTCGACGTTCCGATCATCTCCAATTGGCTCATCTTCCCTCCAATATGCTCCAATATGCTGCCCACCCTGCGTTATCAGACCAATGCGAGTGAATGCTAGCGAATGGTAGCGACTGCTAGCCTCTAGACTTTTGAGGCCCCCTCCTCTCCGATGCACCGCCCCGCCGTGCCCGCCAGATCCAGCACCGTCGAATCTGCGCTCACTTTACTTAAGTATCGCCACGGCCCGGCTCCTTGTCCGTGAGCCAAAAGGTCTCGACTCTCCGCTTTCCCCCACGTCTGCTTCAAATCCTTGACTCCCGAGAAACCCGGAACATTCAATCCCGCCACCCCGCGCCGCCATCAGCCTCATCCCGAGAAGCTTGTCTGAATCCAGCAACCCGGACGTAACTCAATCTCCATTTTATATAACCTCGACCGTTATCCCATCTTGTCCACTTCCGCTCTCGGACCCCATCGACTTCGTATACTTGACTATTTACTTTCGACTGTCTGTCTACTCTCGACAGCAATCCAAACAAGATTCCCCAAGCAAACACCGGTTCAGGAGACTCATCTCAAACCTCACATACCTAACGGAATGGCCCGATAGCATCCCCACGCTTCAACCTCAGCTGCCCGTCACAAAACACCATTACCTCTTTTGGTAGCCTCCCCGGAGAATCATCATCTATTCTGAGAGCCGCATGCGGGGAATTTCCCCGCCTACTCTTTGACTCGGTCAAAGCACCCTTACACCCCAGGGCTCGCTGTTGCCTTTGGATCTGTTAACCGCTTAACCGTCCTCCCCATTTCCGACGACCCTTCCCTCCCCTTCGAACGGGTCGGTCTAAGCCTTGATCATCGGATCAGGTCTTTCAACAACCCTCACCCAGGAAAACCCAACACTCTGCCACGGTGGCGTTCTACCTAGACACCAATATACAACCCAACCTCGTTGACTCTTGTTATTGCGTGTTACTTGGAAACACCATTTGCTACTGCGAATACTACTCCGACCAAACCATCACCACCACCCTGAAACTAGATTCAGTCGACGATCCACCTCCGATCATCGGCATCGGCTTGCCGTGTTCATCTTCATCATGGAGATCACCTATGGCACCTGGTGTCATGGAGTGTCCACTCGACACCCCCTCCTATTCTTCGGAAACGCTGAGCCCGACCCGAAGCCCCCTAAACCCCGGGAACGAGAATGAAAGCGATAAGGCCAGCGACAGCGGGTTCAGCAACGGCGTCGCGACGCCCGCTGCTGCTGGTATCGATATTTCGCGATTACGTTTTGAATGCCGTTGGCAGAATTGTGGCAAGGTCTTTCGCAGACCTAGCGATTTGACGTAAATCTCACCTCACTCTTCTTTTCTGTCTATCATCTCATGACTATCCCCACGCCCCCTCTCTTTTTCAAGATTGTCAGGAGACTGAAGCACTCACTCCTTCATTTTTCACAACATGGTGAGAAATACAAAAAACTGACATCAAATCCCCATCAGCAAACATGAGAGGTACCACATCAAGGAGTACCTCTGCGACGAAGCGAGCTGCGACAAGGCCTTTGCGACCATGAAGGACCTGAAGCGGCATAAGAAGACGCACGAGACGCTCGACGGCGACGGCGCGGGCGGGGGCTACCGGTGCCGCGTCCCGGGATGCCGAAAGGCGAAGACGGGACACGTGTATAACCGCCGCGACAACTTTGTTCGTCACCTGCGGACCAAGCATGTGGGTATGGACTTTGATGTCAGGGAGGAGTTTGATGTGACGTACTGAGATGTACGTTGTAGGTGGTATGAACGTGGAGGTAAGGTAGTTGGGGGTGAAGAATGAAGGCGGGGGCGGGGGTTATGGAAATGAGGAGGACGGGGATGTCATTTTTTTCTTCTTTTTGCGGCTTCTTCTTCGCTCCGTTCAACTTTGCGGTGTGGACATGATCTACGCAACCAGGCAACAGATTCAACTGTTTTCTTTTCTCGGTATTTCCGAATTTGGGTTTGGATTGGTTTGCTTTCTTTTACAAGCTGCTGAACCAGACATGGGAAGATTCATAGACTTGGGAGGGAATACTCGATTTTCATGTCTTTTTATTGTTCAGTTTGGTTTGGGTTTTCTGGACATTTGATACCTAGGTATGTTCATGAAAACATGAAATGGGCTTATGACTGGGCTTATGATTGAGTACGATTCAACGGCCGGATTAGGATCTTGGGCCTGAGATGAGTTCCTTCTATTGATGGAGGGAATATAATGAGACTAGAAAAAGTCTGTTTTGGTTTACTATGCTCTGAGCCTCTGTTCCCGTGATCTTGATGCGCGAATGAACTGTCCTAGCCTGGATTTGGTGCCGGTTTTCATTTTGGCACATGTGAGTTATGAAGGAAAATCGGTCTGAAATCGTGGAACAAGGTACGCTGATGAAATCAGATTCGTCTTTCGAGATTTACTCCTGGTGCGTAGAGCCGAGTGGTTGAAAACCTCTTAGATGACGGAGAAGGACGAGAATCCAAACACCGAACACTGTAGTCCCAAGACCGGCATACGTTTCCCTTGGATTCCGAGAAACGTGACTGCAAAAGAGCTCAGAGATATCTTTGATAGACTGTACACGAATACACCTACCCTGAACCATGCGAACCAAAACCGTTCACCATCACTGCCTTGAATTCACTCGCCGGACCTAAGGATACGATACGATATGTCAAGTTCTGAATGACGTGGGTGGAAGAAAAATGTAATGGCACCCGTACTCTGTCTCACAAAAGAAACAACCGCTAAACGTGCCGTGAGACCAGCAGACAAATGTATGATGGACACTGAAAGAAAGAAACTTTGCGATACTATGTTCGGGTCTATGAACATAATGTCCTGTGTAAATTGGCTCTTTGGAAATTGCGAAAAGAAATCATGGCTAGAAGTTGAGAGTTGGGGTAAACACCGGTGGTCTGATACTTTTGCCACCGCCGAACTCAGTGCTTCAGGGGACGATGGGCTATGAACGAATAACAAATGGCAATGGCAGAAAGCTCACTTCGAAGGAATGGCTGAGATCTAGATGGTCTGTAGCAAAAGCGAACTGGGTTGGTTGCACGATTAAGGGTATCATTAACACTGATGAGCCGTAACTATGTCGCGATGACCTCATCTCTTGGTACAGTTCAAGGAACTCGTTGATTGGTAACTGGTGCTTCTGGACTAGAAATCAAGTGGACTGAAGTAGATTCATCAACTATCGGGTCTCGGCGTGGGCACACAAACGTCAAATATGAAGGGTCTTACTAGATAAGAGAGTCCAGCAATATACTGTCGGTTCTCATAATCAAGGATTGCAAGATATCTTGTCTGTTGGCAAGCTCGACCTGGAACGGGAAGCGGGAAATATCGACCTTGTGCTTGGAAAAGCCTTGAGCAAACAGAACGCAAAGCGAAAAGCCTGGATTTCTCAACAAGCCTTGTGATATCGTCCTCAAAAGACGTACACATGCAGACTTTCAAGACGCCGTCATCCCCGGCTGTCTCTTCTTGCTCCATCTTTCCAGAAAACTCACGATACACATACTGCATTATCCCCAGAGCTAATGGTCCTCCAGCACCGCCATAGATACCGCTGCCAACGTGTACTCAGGGTCACACAAAGCACGTAACTGATGAACTTGGAGGGACTGGAACTTTCGTTTCACTTTTCCAACAGTTGACAGTTTCTTGTCTATACAGCTAGACGTCTCTGTAAGTATGATGCATCGTAACATGGGTTAGTGCTCGTATGTCGGTCGCCTAGTTGGGCTTGCGTACACTGCTACATCCATGGAAGCCAGCCTGTTCGACTGCCCAAATCATGAGGTTGGCCTCTTCCGAGCCCCCGTCTTCGCATCGATTGACATCAAGCCCAGCGTGTGAAGTGTCTCTCATGATATGTGATTGGGCATTAGGTACTCCTCGTGGACTGCTCACCAATGCAAGCAGGACGAATCTCAATCTCTAGGTGTCTGTGACTCCGTGCAGTTATCATACAACAGAAGTTGTACAATTAAATCATCCCGGTACTTACATGGCCGATCATGCTTGGGCTTTGGCTCAAAACCCTCAACCCGCCTTTGTTGTGAATATATGATCGGGGCACCTCGAGAGACAAAGCTATGTGTAGCGTCCCTCAATTCCCAGGATCCGTACGTGCTCATGCTGAGCCACGTGGTCCGCATTGAAGATTCTAACTTGAGTTATTAACTTACTGTCCAGTGTCGGCGTCTTGCTCTGATAAATCCACGAGTAAGGTACTGGGAAGAAGAAGGAGGTACAAGGGCCGATCTTCTTAAAATAGACCTGCGTTCATCTTGTTCGTGTAGGAGTTGACGTTGGACAACTCAAGGCCGTGTTTGTCAGGAAATAGTTCGGCATCTAAGCTGGGGAATGAACATGAATCCGCGGTCATCTTGCAAAGATGCCTCGAGCCGAGGTCGCTCTCAACATATCGTGATACTCAAGACCTCGGCTTTGCCTCCGGGATTCTCAAGGCAGCGCTGCATACCAATCAATCAAGCCAAGCTTGGGTGACGGGCTTGTCTGATTGACTGATTTTTCACAAGAAGCTTGCTTAATTTGACTGGCTTGGATTGAATTGATTAATATTACCTATTTAGGAAGTCAGTGAAGCTCTCACGATGTCTCTATACGTCAGAAACTTACATTATCTGATGTTCTGATGTCATCCTGCCCTCCGTCAACCCTTCCGCTTAAAATAATGCCCACCAACAGCAACGCTGCCCCCTCGAACCCAGTTCTGGAGGCATTGTGTCTCCTCAAGCAGTGATGGTTTCATGGATAGCCTCTGTGACGTCAGCGTAAGTTTTGCAAGGCTGAATGCCCTCTCGCAGTCGGTCGCCATCGCTGGGATAGCAAAGACGTCGAGGGCAAGTTTACTGAGCGTTGGGAAGGTCTGTTGATGTGAAATCTCACCACTGAATAGGATCGTCGACGGGCTGGGCAACTGAGAGGGTGAAGTATCGATCCAGCTCGTCAACCTCGTCGATAGTAGCGTCATGGAGGCTGCTGTTTAACCATTGACGATAGTCAGAGTCTTCCACCCTCGGAGGAACTGCGATCGAT